GAGACCAGAGCGGTGGCGTAGTCAAGGCGGTGGGTAGAGGCGAAGTCAGCGACAGCAGCGACAAGAGCATCAAGACGCGAAACAGGAATAGACGGGTCAGTAACGAGAGAGGCAAGGACCCGAGAAACAAGAGGACGAGCGGCACGAAGGTAGTCAGACAGAGGGGGAGGCGCGACAAGAAGTGAGGACGGAGGAGGCGACGGCAGGAAAGGAGGACGAGACACGTGGGAACGAAGCAACATAGGGTGAGAGCGCCGAACAGGAGAGACCGGACGAGCACGAGAGGGACGGCGAGACCAGACGTGGGACGGGGGCGTCTGGTTAGGAGACAGAGGAGGGGACACAAGGGGGGAACGAGGGGAAAGACAAACCGGAGATGAGTCCGGAGGAGGGAACATAGGGCCGTAGACAGTAAGAGGAGGGGACGGTAAGAGAGGCGCAGATGCGCGGTCAAGGGAGGGAAGGCCGAGCAGGCGAAGGGCGGACACCGGCGGCGACTGCTGCTACTGCGGCTGCAAGACGCCGACACCTGGACCGCCAGCTGCTCCAGGGCTACCTCCGAAATACTCCACTCCAGCACCCCCAGAAGGAACACCCCCAGATTCAGGAACTATCTCAGCACTAGGGAGGACGGCTGCGGCTGCGACTTCAACGGCAGAGGAGGAGACACTGAGGAGAGGGCAGGCGGCGAGGACTTCGCCGCAGGGCCACTAGAGTCAGCAGACTCCTCAACAGGGAGAACCGACTGGAGGGGGGTGACGTGAGACACACCAGACAGGGCAGGGCGGGAGGGGGGGAAGCAGGGGCGATCGGGGGAGGGGGAACCAGGAATAGGGGGGGAGTAACCGGGGGACCACGGTGGGGAAAGCGGTGGTAGAAAATAACGTCGCAAGAGTGAAAGAAATGGTGAGACGGTGGGTGGTAGAAGTGCCAATCAGACGAGTCGAGGGGGAAACCTAGGAAGACACAGGGGACGGTGCGGGCAGTGAACTTGTCCGTGCCGGAGGCACGAACGGGAGCAAGGTAGCCCCAAACGTGGAATGCAGACGAGTCACCAGGAGACCGGGTCCAGAGGAGGGTCGGCGAAACCTTCGGCCGCTGAGGGTGCGGCCACAGGTTAAGCTGGTGAGCGGTGTAGCGAACAGCGAACGGCCACAAAAAATGGGGTGCACCGGCATGGATCATGGAGGTACCAGCCACCTCCATGACCAAATCGATGTGTCGCTCAGCGACCCCATTCTGCTGTGGGGAGTCCGGCAGGGTGAACGTCTGGGTGATGCCCTCCGCACGACAGAAGCGACCAAGGCAGCCAGAGGCGAACTCGCCACCACGGTTGGAGTGAAGACGAAGCATAGGGAGACCTCGGTGCACACGCGCAGAGACAAGCCACGGGATAAGAACGTCAGGCACGTCGGCCTTCCGCTCCAGGGGAAACACGGTGGTGTAACGAGTGTGGTCGTCAACAAGGACGAGGAAGTAACGCTCACGAAGTGGCCCATGGACGGGGACAGGGCCTCAGACGCCCATGTGCAAGGTCTGCATTGGTGCAGTGGTGGGGGGGAACGAGGAGGAATGAGGGGCACGGCGGAGCCGGCCCTCGACGTAGGGGGTGCACGGTGGCGCGGGTGAGGAGGGGAGTGCGGGGAACGACCCAGGGAGACCTAAAACAAGACCGTGCTGAGACATGTGACGAAGACGAGGGAGGGCATGGTGACCTAGACGGTGGTGCCACAGTAGCGTCGGGTGAGTAAGCGACCGACACGAGCAAGCCGCAGCAACCTGGGGAGACACAGCCACCTGGGGAGACATCCCAACTGGGGGGAACACGGTGTCCAGCGTGAACAGGCCAGACACCGGGTCCCAGGGGAATGTGGTGAGGGGAGCACCAGTGGCGGCCTCGGTACAGACAGCGTACCGCTTGTGACCAGGGAACGTAGTGGTGACACCAAGGTCCTGGAGGCAGCCGACACCAACTAGGTTCCTAAAGAACAAGGGGATGTGCAGGCCTGTAAGAGAGCCCGAAGGAGCTGCCGGACAGGGATGGGTATTGGAGCTACGGGCGATGACAGGGCCTGAGGAAGGGTCAGCAAGGGAAACTGCGGCGGGAGCGGCAAGCGGCGTGAGGGTAGTGGAGTCCCGAAAGAAGCACTGGGAAGCGCCGGAGTCAAGGGTGAAGAAGAGTGCGCCAGTGGCGGCAGGGGCTGAAGAAGCGAGGGAGGAGCCTAGGCTAAACGAAGCAGGGGATCGAACGCCTGACGCAGCAGGGGAGTCTGAGTTAGGCACACTGCACACGAGGCCACGGCAAGGACCGGTCTGGAGCTGGTACTGGCTGCGCCCGTCACTCGAACCACCACCAGACGTCACTCTGCGCGCACGACCACCGCGACCGCCGCCACCACCAGCGCCTGGCCACCCGGGCGGGAGACGACCAACCCGCCGCTGCTGCTGCGGCTGCTGCTGGTCCAGCGGTGGAACTTGCTGCTGCTGCTGGGATTGCTGCTCGGCGGTGCCAGCCCCAGCCCCCTTGTCAGCACTCCCAGCGGGCGACCCGGATCCACTACCTCCTGCACCCTCGCCTCCGCTACCACCACCGCGCCTAGCCTTGGGGCGGCGACCCTTTCCCGGACGGAACTGCGCTGCGGCAGCTGTCTCAGCCACAGAAGCAGAGCCATCAGAGAAAGTGCACTGAGCTGGTGTACAGCCCTGAAAGATAGTGACCGGCGCAGTGCCACTCGACTGGGTGATAGAGTGCTGGCGGGTCTCTATGGCAGATAGGGTGTCGACAAAGTCAGTGAGGGTGAGGTCAGCGGGGTGGAGACTAAGAAAGTGATCACGGGCAGTAGCAAGGCGGTCAGGGAGTCGAGTGGCAAGCAGGTAGAGGGTAGCGCAGATGGTGGGGCTGGCCACGCGAAGCTGGGCCTCAGTGCAGGCAGAGTGTCAGGTCGAGTCTAGCGTGTGCAAGTGGGCAGCTACGTCAGTGACAGAGGGGAAAGACGCGAGATCAGGAAAAAGCAGGGGCAGGATCAGGCGATCGACGGAGGCGGAGGGCGGGGTCGAATAGCGCGCAACAACAGCCTCTAGGAACTCCTGCGCGGTCCTAACCGACCAAAAGTAGGGACGTTCAGACAGGGGGAGGGCATGACTGATTGCAAGCTGTGCGACAGCGTCACGGGACAACCAAACTGCACGGGGAAGGGCAGCAGCGGCAGCGGACTCACGGTCAGCTGACGTGGGGTCAGCGCGCAGAGCAGCAGGGGGGTCAGGGCAGGGGAGCATACCGTCGATGTGGATGGCCAATGAGTGGTCGTCCTGCCGCTGACCAGTGAGCTGACTACGGAGATCGACGAGCCATGTGTCGAACTCGATCGGCTGACCCTCCGCGTCAAAGCGCAGCACAGAGTCCGCCATCAGGAGCGATGCAGCGGCAAAGAGGCGGTAGGCGGGAAGTAGCCGGGTGCAGTGCAGTACAGTGCAGTGCGTGAGACTGCAATATGGGGTAGTGCGGTGCAGGGCGGTGCAGTGCAGTGTGGTGCAGAGCTGTGCAGTGCGGTGCAGTGCAGTGCTAAGCAGGGCAGGGCAGTGCAGCGCAGTGCAGGAGCCGCAGGGGCCGGTTGTGCGACAGGGGCGGCTGGGCGACGGGGCCGGGCGGGCGACGGGGCCGGCTGTGCGGAACGGGCCGGGCCGGGCCGGCTACGGGACGGCGACGGGCCGGGCTACGGGACGGGGCCGGCGACAGGTGCGAGCGTGGGTGCGGGATGGGCTGGGCTACGAGCGCAGGTGCGGGATGGGCCGGCTAGAGGCGCGGGCGCGGAACGGGCCGGCTACGGGCGCGGGCACGGGCCGGCTACGGGACAGGCGCGGGCGCGGGCCGGCTACGGGACGGGCGTGGGACGGGGCCGGCTACGGGACAGGCGCGGGACGGGGCCGGCTACGGGCGCGGAACGGGGCCGGCTACGAGGCGGCCGGCTACGGGCACGGGCGCGGGACGGGGCCGGCTACGGGCGCGGGCGCAGGCCGGCTAAGACCTATGGCGGAAGCGCTAGTGGGCGAGTGGGACCTAACCTACTCATGATACCATGTTTGAATGTTATAATGGCTAGAATGAGGGAGTACAATAGAATATAGTCCAGTGGGTTGTACTCTCTAAGGCACAACCCTGTATAGTCTATAGGAACATACTCAGATGTGTTTGACAGAGATTACCAGCAGGAGCAGTAGGGCCATTGATTTTCGCAGTTGCAATGATTGGGGCAGATATTTCACACATCAAAAGCCTTCATGTGAGATAGCTGATGTCGAGTGATCCGCTGGGGTTACCCTTGAGAAGATCCTCGGGGAAGGGCCACAGGTGCAGAGCCTGGGGGGCTATGGGCGCACTGACCCGCTATTAACCCAGTGGTTAGTGGTTGATTTATGACAGCTAATTCCTTACCGTTGCTCTGCTTAGTTGTTCCCTGTTGGATGTTTTGTTGACTCATGTATTCTGTTTGTCTTGTGTGCAGTCCCAAATAAACAGTCGCTGGAGGATGTACTTATGGTACAGAGCATGCTCGAACAACGAGCTATATCAACGTTGTGCTGAAGTGAATAGTAAAACGTAATCAAATGCGCTGCTATTCTGTATGTCCTCTCGTGATGGAGATGGTTCTTGGTGCTTATGTATTTAGGGGGTGTCACTCACCTCACAAGTGTCATTTGCTCGATCACTTCATTGAATATTTAGTTGATGTTAGGGCAATTTCTCAGCTACACCTAGCCTTGGGATGAACATGACTGTACACGTCAACCGAATTCCACCTTCGCAGAAATCCATTCCAGCAAAGTAGCTCACGTGGCCCAAGCTCAGAGCCTACACGTAGGCCTCCTACTCTCCACCTCACCCAACTCACAGGCAATTCTCGTGGGTAGACCACAGGCACTAGCCTGGTTGGCAAATGTTAGCGACTTGACTGGCTAAGAAATGTTTCATGGAGAATTCGAAATTCCACATTCTTCATAGACGCTGAAGCCAAGACCTCCACCTTGAAGCACTAACTACACTATCCGCCGCCATTGTTTCTGCTCTTGCGTAGAGTGTCTCTCCAACTGAGCAACCCGAATCCTGACTGACTTTTTCGTTTGATCGCGCGCGAAATAATAGAGGCGGCAAGCAGCAACACTGGCGGCCGGTGCGCTTACGCTCGCCCCCTGGATTTCAGCTTTGGCCCTTGGTCTTCTGAAGTGGCGCTTCACTTTATCATCGTTCGGCCTTTCAGGAAACGCCTGGCTGGTAATCCGAAGCTGGCAGCTGGCAGCTGCGGCGGCAAGTGGTGACAACAACAACACATTGCCCGTCAGCTTCAGCCGCACTGCCAAGCGTGCGCAGCTAGATCATATCGGCCAAGCACTCGTGCTATAACTTGTGGGTATTAATGGCTCGGAAATTGCCGGGTTTCCGGCCAGCACGGCTACTCTAGCTGGCCGAGACTTGCCACCCGATTCAAGACGGATCTGATCAAGACGATTCTGCTTCCCGTGGCCCATGAACTCTCTACAGTACAACTGACAAGTGCGGCGGCCTTGGTTTCTTCGAGCGTACAGTGTCTTCCGACGTCCCACCGCCGACATCCTTTCGTCGTTCTTGTAGCTCTCCCGTCGCCGTGCCTTCTCTAGCAAGCGACCCCAGTGTTTAAGAGGAGTTATTATGGCCGCTCCGCTTTCAGCACGGCAACTTGGGACGCCACCTTGTCATCACGCCACGTCATCACCGCCTTATCGTGCCATGTCAGCTTACCCGAAGTCACCATTCAGTAGCCATCGTGTATCAGTCACGAATGGTGCAAGCAATATACCACACTCGTTATTAACAAGGGGTACGTTTAGCCGATGGTCTCAACCCTATCCCCGCTTTAAGACGTTGCGTAACACGAGGACGTCGCTCTCCGTTAAGTCAAGGACGTTAAGGTTTCGGTGCAAGGCTGGCTCTGGCAGCTCGAACGGGAATAATAATCCGGACGACAGGAATAGTTCGCGAAATAGCAGCGGGAACGGCCAAGAGGGAAACGTCCGGGGAGATAGCGACAGCAAGAGAGGGAAAGATGGTGACGTGTCGAGAGAGCAGCAGGCGGAGGGGCTTATTATTGAAGAAAGACGCGCGAATGCGTCGATAAGGAGGTGGGTCGATGCTGATGATTCTTCCCCTTTCCGGCTACCACGCTTTACCTCTTGGTTTCCGCCTCGCCTAGCTTGTTTCTCTCAGAAGTGATGAAATCACTACGGCCCTTAATAGAGGATGTATTCAGCTTGCTTTTGAGTCAACCCAAAAGACAAACCCGCTTGTTTCTCTCAGAAAGGCTGAAAGCACTCCGGGCCTTCATAGAGGATGTATCCAGTGGTGACCGTTCCCCCTCCCAAGCATTCTGGACTTCACCCCTCACCGACCTGAACTCCTCCCCTGATTCCTGTAGTCTCGCAAACCCTATTTTTCCCTCTCATGCGCTGTATCTCCTAGCGGTACATCGTGACCAGGGTGAATCAATCTCTTACCCCCCCGCTGTCCCCGTCCCCACCCTTTTTCTTCCTCCTTCCCTCTCTCCCCACCATACGCCCTATCCCGTTTAATGGAGCTAGGTCGTCAATTCTCACCCATGCCCGGTCTCGTAGTGCAGCACACGTTGTGCAACCTCCCCCCCCTCCCCCCCTATTCCTCTGTCCCTCTCAGTCGCCGTGCTCCCTCCCTCACATCTCACCTCACCCCTTCCTCCTCTCCCTGTTTCGTTATTTCCATTTTCAGGCACCGAGTCTCCAACCTGAAGTTGCTGCTTACACCCCAGTCAATCGCCTTGGACCCTCCCTCACACCTCACCCCTTCGCCCTCTCCCTGTCTCCTCCTGTTTCCTTATTTTCCTTTCTCAGCCCAGGTATCAGGCCATCTGGTCTGAAGGTGCTACTTATACCCCTCTCAATCGCCTTGGACCCTCCCTCACTCACACCTCACCCCTTCTTCCTCTCCCTGTTTCCTCCTCGCTCCACATTCCCAGGTATCGAGTCACCCGGTCTGAAGGTGCTGTACACGTGGCAGAACCCCCTTCCTCCATCCCCCCTGCTGTTACTTCTGCCAATGGTGCTGCTGGTGGCTCTAACGAGGGTGACCGTAACGGAGGCAGAAGCGAGCCTGCCCGAAGCGGCCAATTTGACTCGCTGGTCCAGTCAGCAAAGAATTTCTTCCTGCCCGCTGGATACCCTGACAGCCTTACCAGTGACTACACAACGTATATGTAAGATCCCAGCCTGACTGCTCTTCCTCTCCAGGCATGTTGTCTTGGTCCTCCGTCCATCCATTCATTTAGCCCTATCCTAGACCTCATTCCCCATACCCCTGCTCCCCTCTTCCCCCCCCTTCCCTCCTCTCCCCGCATCCCTCTCTGATTGAGTTTCTTCTTGACGTAGGAGTATGAGCTTCAAATTTCTCCGTTGCGTTTCTTCCTCCCCTTCCCTGCCCCGTGACACAGGCTCTGGCAGTTTCCGGTCCACGTCACAGGGTGGGCGCCATCCACCCTCGTCACCTCCAACTCCGCTGCAAGCAGTTGGCGTAGGAGCCCTCACCCTGTCCCCCCGTCCTTCCCTTACCCCCCCTCGAAACAACAGGCTTTGGCAGTTTCCGGTGCACATAACACAGTGGGCCTCATCCACCTCATCACCTCCACTCTGCTGCAGGCAGTAGGAATAGGATCCCTCACCCTGTCCCCTCGTCCGTCCCTTCATCCCCTTCACACGCCTCCCCTTTCTACCCTCCCCCCATGTAGGCTCTGGCAGTTCCCGGTGCACATAACGGGGTGGGCGTCATCCACCCTCGTCACCTCCACGCTGCTACAAGCCGTGGGAGTGGGATCCCTTGTTAAAGGTGGGGCTACTGCAGCTGCTGGCGCTGCCGCTGTTTCTGGTGCTGCTGCTACTGCTGGTGCTACTGGTGCCGCTGCTGCTGGTGCTGCTTCTGGTGCTGCCACTGCTGGTGCTGCAGGTGCAGTGGCAGCAGGAGCAGCAGCAGGAGCAGCAGTAGGTGCAACCGTAGCAGCAGGAGCAGCAACCATAGCCACCACAGCAGCAGCCGCTCTCCCGGCAGTAGACCCTGCCTCAGCTGCCGCCGCCACCGCAGCCATCAAATGGGTGGCAAAGGACGGCATAGGTGCGGTCGGCCGCCTGCTAGTGGGCGGCCGGTTCGGCGCCATCTTCGACGAGGACCCGAAGCAGTGGAGGTTCGTCGCGGACCTGATAGGCTCGGCCGGGGCCATCTTCGAGCTCGCCACTCCCCTCGCGCCGAACCACTTCCTCCTCCTAGCCTCCCTAGGCAACCTCACGAAAGCAGTAGCCAAGGGGCTGAAAGACCCTTCGGCTAGGGTTATCCAAACGCACTTCGCCCTTTCAGCGAACTTAGGGGAGGTAGTGGCGAAGGAGGAGGTGTACAAGGTGATGGCGCAGCTGGCAGGGCTCGGGTGTGGTGTGCTGCTGCTGAGCTCGCCCTACATTGCCGAGTCGTATTGGAGCCTCGTCTCCACGTGGGCTGTGCTGCGCTCGTCCCATCTGGCCCTCCGATTCAAGTCGCTTTCCGTCCTTGAGTTTGATTCCGTAAGTGTTGTACTGCCACATTCTGTATTGGCACGTGTTGGGTTGCCTCATGCTATTTTTGGGCTGTGCTGCTGCTGAGCTCGCCATAACTTGCCGAGTCGTATTGGAGCGTGGTCTTCGCGTGGGCTGTGCTGTGCTCGTTGCAGAGCCGTTCAGATTCAAGCCACTCTGTGTTTTGGAGTTCGACTCCGTAAGCGGTGACTTTGTACGAGTTGCGGTGGCTCAAGCTGTTGTTGAGTTGGTCGGCCATAGCCAAGTCGTATTCGAGCCTGATCTCCACGTGGCTTGTGCTGCGCGCATCACACCTGGCATTCAGATTCAATCCACTCTCTGTTCTGCAGGTTGCTTCTGGGAGTTGTGTGGACTGCGGAGGGGAAGCAGGAGGGAAGGAGGTGGTGGAGGAACTTTTCTGTTTTGCAATCGTCGTCTCTGGCTCCGGAAGCAGAGAACTGAGAGGGGCGCCTCTGGCTACCTTGCCGCCTCTCCTCTCACCTTTCAGCGCCCCAGCCTATCCGTCCCACCTCTCCCCCTCCTCCCCCTCCCCCCCACTCTCCTCTTAGCTCAGCTTCAAGCACATGGCCATCCTCGCCAAAGCACTCGTAGCCAGAGCACTCGTAGCCAGAGCACCAGCCCTTGCATTAGTCCAAGCTGTGAACTGAGAGGAGCGCCTGGGGCTTCCGTGCCGGCATCCCTCGCCCCCTGAAAACTCCACTAACAAACCCATCCCGCATGCCTCTTTCTCACTCCCCCCTGCTCTCCTCTCACCTGAGCTTCAAGCGCACAGCCCTCCTCGCCCGAGCACACGTGTCAGGGGCTCTCTCACCTTTCACCTCTCTCCTCTCTCCTCCCTCCTCTCTCCTCTCTCCCTCCCACCTCTCTCCCCCTCCCCCATCCTCTCAGCTCAGCTTCAAGCGCATAGCCCTCCTCGCCCGAGCACACGTGTCAGGGGCTCTCTCACCTCTCTCCTCTCTCCTCTCTCCTCTCTCCTCTCTCCTCTCTCCTCTCTCCTCTCTCCACTCTCCTCTCTCCACTCTCCTCTCTCCTCTCTCCCTCCCACCTCTCTCCCCCTCCCCCATCCTCTCAGCTCAGCTTTAAGCGCACAGTCATCGGCGCCAGAGCACACGTGGCAGGGGCTCCAACGCTACCCCCCATCCAGGCAGTGAACCGAGACGAACGCCTGGAGATGCATCATCAGCTCGGCTAACACACTTCCACCGAATCCCACCCATTCCACCTCATTCCCTCCAGCTCCCTCCAGCTCAGTTTCAAGCGCACAGCTATTCTGACCAAGGCGCACGTGGCAGGGGCTCCATCGCTGCCTTCCGTCCAGGCTGTGAACCGAGAGGAGCGCCTCTGGCTGCATCATCGGCTCGGAGTCTATTCTTGAGGCGCCTAGAAGAAAAGTTACCCACCGTCCAGGTTGTGAACTGAGAGGAACGCCTGGGGATGCATCATCAGCTCGGCTAACACACTTCCACCCCATCCCACCCTGCCTCATTCCCTCCAGCTCAGTTTCAAGCGCACGGCTATTCTGGCCAGAGCGCACGTGGCAGGGGCGCCAACGCTACCCTCCGTCCAGGCAGCGAACCGAGAGGAGCGCCTATGGCTGCCCCGCCGGCTCACCTCCCCCAGCATTCGCCTCGGCTGCTCCCTTGCTGACATGTCGGCCCTGCTGGAGCGACAGTCGGCCAATCGAATGGTTTGTGTGTAAACATATCTATATAATTGTCTTTTTTTCTCTCGTTTTTTGCTTGCTGTTAATTGCTGTGTGTGTCCCGCCACGGCCTGTGTAACTCATGCACCGGACAGACCACATGCATGCTGTGCTGTCGGCCATTGGGTTGGTTCGTGCGCATAGATTGTTCATCATGTTCATCACTTGCGCATAGATTGTTCATCATGTTCATCACTTGCGCATAGATTGTTCATCATGTTCATCACTTGCGCATAGATTGTTCATCATGTTCATCACTTGCGCATAGATTGTTCATCATGTTCATCACTTGCGCATAGATTGTTCATCATGTTCATCACTTTCTGTCAGTTGTGCTTTTCTGTCTCTTGTGTCTTTTCGTCTGCGGTGAGTCCGATAGAACACCACTTAGGTGCCATGACTTTACGTGGCAGCGATTTAAAATGCTTAAAGTAGCAAAAAACTTGCTTGCTTGCTTGCGGCGTTTTTCTGTCTGCTGTGATTTTCTGTCTGCTGTCCTATTTTGTCTGGGAAGGCCACATACATGCATGCATAGTTCCAAAGCATTCCATTCTACACGTCCAAAATTTTGGCCACGTCCTTAGCGAGCCTTGCTGTCTTTGCATCTGTTCCATGCTGTCGCTGCACCTTGCAGTGACTCCAGGCGCTGCCAGACCTCCTGGCACTGTACTGGGAGGAGCAGCATGTGCTTATAATGGATGAGAGCAGCACCTTCTATTTCCCTCACTCCCTCTCCCTCTCGCCCTCTATCTCATCCGATTTTGCCACTGCGTCTTCCTGTCGTCTCCAGGCGCTCCCAGACCTCCTGGCACTGTACCGGGAGGAGCAGCATGTGCTTCTAATGGATGATAACGGAGCATTCTCGGTTATTTTCAAGGTAAAACCTTTCTTTCTTCTTCAAGGTAAAACGTTTCTTGCCTCTTCAGGGTAATCTCTTTTGCCGCCTCCATTTTCAGGCTCCTGTCTCACTATCTCATTCTCCCTCTCTACCCTCTCCCCTTTCTTGAGGTAGCCTAGCCTCTGCTTGCCCACAACCTTTCCCAACGAAAGAAGAGGAAAAGAGTGCTTTTCATGTGGGCTCATCACCACCTGTGGATTCCAGTTTTGTAGGTGCCTCAAAAGTAGCCTCTGCTTGCCTACAACCTCCCAACGAACGTGCTTCTCATGTGTGCTCATCACCACCTGTGGATTCTAGTTTTGAGGCGCCTCAAAAGTAGCCTCTGCTTGCCTAAAACCTCCCAACGAACGTGCTTCTCATGTGTGCTCATCTCCACCTGTGGATTCCTCCCTTTCTCTTCCACCCTTCCCAACCCCCAGCCCCAACCACCCCCCCCCCAATTTACCACCCTCCATGATCTAATGTCCAATGCAGCAAGGAGAATTGAAGGCAACGGTATTGAGGGCTGTGGAGCAGGCGTGCCGGTTGCAAATTTTGAATCTGCTCAAATCCCCCCCCCCCTCCTCCTCCCTCTCCCTCTTACCTCCCTCCATGATTTGGTGCAGCAAGGAGCATCAAAGGGGACAGTACGGAGGGCTGTATGGCAGGCATGCTGGATGCAGCATGTTGAGTCGGCTCAAAAGACACCCCTCACCCCACCCCGCCCCCCATTGCAGCAAGAGCAGCGACGGGGACAGTACTAAGGGTTGTGTGGCAGGCGTGCTGGCTGCAGCATTTTGAGTCGGCTCAAAATAAACCTCCTCACCCTACCCCCCACCCCCCCCATTGCAGCAAGGAGCATCGAAGGGGTCAGTTCTGAGGGTTGTGTGGCAGGCGTGCTGGCTGCAGCATTTTGAGTCGGCTCAAAATAAACCTCCTCACCCTACCCCCCACCCCCCCCATTGCAGCAAGGAGCATCGAAGGGGTCAGTTCTGAGGGTTGTGTGGCAGGCCTGCTGGCTGCAGCATTTTGAGTCGGCTCAAAATAAACCTCCTCACCCTACCCCCCACCCCCCCCATTGCAGCAAGGAGCATCGAAGGGGTCAGTTCTGAGGGTTGTGTGGCAGGCGTGCTGGCTGCAGCATTTTGAGTCGGCTCAAAATAAACCTCCTCACCCTACCCCCACCCCCCCCATTGCAGCAAGGAGCATCGAAGGGGTCAGTTCTGAGGGTTGTGTGGCAGGCCTGCTGGCTGCAGCATTTTGAGTCGGCTCAAAATAAACCTCCTCACCCTACCCCCCACCCCCCCATTGCAGCAAGGAGCATCGAAGGGGTCAGTTCTGAGGGTTGTGTGGCAGGCCTGCTGGCTGCAGCATTTTGAGTCGGCTCAAAATAAACCTCCTCACCCTACCCCCCACCCCCCCATTGCAGCAAGGAGCATCGAAGGGGTCAGTTCTGAGGGTTGTGTGGCAGGCCTGCTGGCTGCAGCATTTTGAGTCGGCTCAAAATAAACCTCCTCACCCTACCCCCCACCCCCCCCATTGCAGCAAGGAGCATCGAAGGGGTCAGTTCTGAGGGTTGTGTGGCAGGCCTGCTGGCTGCAGCATTTTGAGTCGGCTCAAAATAAACCTCCTCACCCTACCCCCCACCCCCCCCATTGCAGCAAGGAGCATCGAAGGGGTCAGTTCTGAGGGTTGTGTGGCAGGCGTGCTGGCTGCAGCATTTTGAGTCGGCTCAAAATAAACCTCCTCACCCTACCCCCCACCCCCCCCATTGCAGCAAGGAGCATCGAAGGGGTCAGTTCTGAGGGTTGTGTGGCAGGCGTGCTGGCTGCAGCATTTTGAGTCGGCTCAAAATAAACCTCCTCACCCTACCCCCCACCCCCCCCATTGCAGCAAGGAGCATCGAAGGGGTCAGTTCTGAGGGTTGTGTGGCAGGCCTGCTGGCTGCAGCATTTTGAGTCGGCTCAAAATAAACCTCCTCACCCTACCCCCCACCCCCCCATTGCAGCAAGGAGCATCGAAGGGGTCAGTTCTGAGGGTTGTGTGGCAGGCCTGCTGGCTGCAGCATTTTGAGTCGGCTCAAAATAAACCTCCTCACCCTACCCCCCACCCCCCCATTGCAGCAAGGAGCATCGAAGGGGTCAGTTCTGAGGGTTGTGTGGCAGGCCTGCTGGCTGCAGCATTTTGAGTCGGCTCAAAATAAACCTCCTCACCCTACCCCCCACCCCCCCCATTGCAGCAAGGAGCATCGAAGGGGTCAGTTCTGAGGGTTGTGTGGCAGGCGTGCTGGCTGCAGCATTTTGAGTCGGCTCAAAATAAACCTCCTCACCCTACCCCCCACCCCCCCATTGCAGCAAGGAGCATCGAAGGGGTCAGTTCTGAGGGTTGTGTGGCAGGCGTGCTGGCTGCAGCATTTTGAGTCGGCTCAAAATAAACCTCCTCACCCTACCCCCCACCCCCCCATTGCAGCAAGGAGCATCGAAGGGGTCAGTTCTGAGGGTTGTGTGGCAGGCCTGCTGGCTGCAGCATTTTGAGTCGGCTCAAAATAAACCTCCTCACCCTACCCCCCACCCCCCCCATTGCAGCAAGGAGCATCGAAGGGGTCAGTTCTGAGGGTTGTGTGGCAGGCGTGCTGGCTGCAGCATTTTGAGTCGGCTCAAAATAAACCTCCTCACCCTACCCCCCACGCCCCCCATTGCAGCAAGGAGCATCGAAGGGGTCAGTTCTGAGGGTTGTGTGGCAGGCGTGCTGGCTGCAGCAGCAGCAGAAACAGCAGCAGCGGCAGAGGCAGCAGGTGCTGCCAAGTGGGGTTTCCCAGGAGCATGGGGAATACCAAGAGGAAGAGCAGCACAGAGACAGGAGGAGACAGCACTGGGGAGATGGGGAGAAGGAGGCCAGCGGTAGCAGCAGCAGCAGCAGCGGTGGTGGCAGCAGTGGTAGCAGCCTTCTAAAAGCGTCTCTGGACGCATTAGCCAGCGAGTTCGAGGGGTTTCTTGCCATGGCTGCCGCTGCTGGGTGGGACACCAACACGCTGGTGGCGAAGGTGCCTCTCTCCGCCCCCTTGCTAATCCTTCAACCCCAAGGAATCGACTGTGAGGCGCCGGAGGAGCAGCCAGATAGGCGGCTTACAGCTGCTGCTCCCAGATAGTGAGTGGGGGAGAGCATTTGGCTTCTCAGTGACCTTTTGAGTTGGCTCAGAAGTCAGATAAACGGCTTTTTGCCGGGGAGAAGCCAGCCAGATAGGCGCATTGCAGCTGCTGCTCCCAGATAGTGAGTGCGGGATAGCAGTTGGCCTTCTGAAAGTGCCTCTAGACGCTCTAGGCAGCGAGTTTGAAGGGTTTCTTGCCATGGCTGCCGCTGCTGGGTGGGACACCAACACACCGGTGGCTAAGGACGTATTCCTTCCATCAAGGATCAGGATTAGCATTCCTGATCCTGGTTCCTGATCCTGCCGTTTTGCAGCCTGTAGATCAGCAACCGAGGTGCTTGTCGCAAAGTGCTGCCACATGTGCAGACACGCGACACAATGCGACATGCAGTTGGTGTTGAATCTGTAATAATTTGACAGGTGTTGCAGGAGACTGAGTATAGAATCTGCAAATATGAACACTTGGGAAACCTCAAGTGTTAGCCTAGGATCTTTACTGGAATGCTAGACTAGTAAGACAGCGGAAGTCTTAGAACTTGTAAGTGTTGACCATAATTTGCTGAAGAACAACTTCAGAATTAAGTTCAGAACAACGTTGTCTAAACAATGAAACATGCTACTTTTTATAACTAACATAAGTACCTGTTTGCTAGTGTACTTGTTGACCCTATCGCACTATGCGCCCTAAATGACACTGAAGAGACGTAACTGTTCGCGTGACTGAAACGACTGTCCTCATGACGAGCGCTATTTGCTGACGTCATCCTACGGACTTATCTTCTACAGTAGGATTCGACACTATCTATCGATAATCGACTTACAGAAATGCTAAGTATGAATCATATCACAACACTCCCCTTCATTTCTGGAAGTCCGATAGTGTCATTTCTTGAAGATCCCGCAAAGCTTGTTACAGTACTGAAACTTCTGTCGTGTCAGCTTCTTCATGAGGAAATCGGCAGCCATTTCGTTGGTCGAACAGTAGACCAATCGCATCCTCCCCTTCTCAACTTCATTATTGACGAAAAAGTAACGCAGTAAAATGTGTTTCGTCCTGTTGACGAACCCGGGCTGGTGTGCGATGCGAATTGCACTCTGGTTATCGCACTGCAAAGTAAACTGAGTACTCGTCGTCAACTTCGCTTCTTCCAAGAGCTCCTGCAGGTAAAGTCATTTGCGAGTTGCTGTGCAGACAGCGATAAATTCAGCGTCAGCAGAGGAGAGAGCAATCATCTCCTGTTTCGTCGAATTCCAAGAAATAGGCCCGATAGGTTCAAGGTGGTAGATAAATCTAGTACGCGAGCGTCGATTAGTAGTATCGGCAGCGTGATCGGCGTCGACGAAACCGTGTAGATATAACGTTTTACAGTCGATGACGTTGTAGACTAAACCGACGTTAGGAGTCGATATGAAAAACTGAAGCGCGCGTAGGAGATCAAGTTGATGCTCCTCTTCAGGACGGCGTAGGTATTGCGCAAGTTGACTAGCCGCATAGGCTAGATCCGGACGACAAGTAACAGCGGCGAAGAGAAGACAGCCTAACTGTTGTTGATAAGTCTGTAAATCGGTTAGACTCAACGGTGTAGTATTCGGTTTGTAATCTGTCTGTAAGGAACGGTACGATGTAGTGACAGTGGTAGGAGTAAGGTTGAAGCGTGCAGCGAGCGTAGCCGCATACTTCGAAGCGGTTAGATGAATGGATGTCGATGAGCAGGAAATGTTTAGACCGAGAAACTGGGAGACTGACTCAAAGACGGTGAGCTGTAGGTTTTTCTGTAGTTTCAGTATGAAGGTGTTGGCGAGCGATTTAGTTGTACTGACGTAGAGAATGTTGTCAACGTAAGCGACGAGTAGAATGTAGTTGCTTCGATCAGTTAGAAGATACATCCCCTGATCATGCGGTAGTTGTCGAAAACCAGCAGTGAGAAGCTGTGAATGTAAATACTGCTGCCAGAGCTTGGGTGCCTGCTTAATACCGTAGAGCGATTTTCTGAGACGGCACACACTCGGTGAGTTAGTAGTATACGAGTGCGGGTACTCTACCAGAATGAGTGCATCGACGGGTGCGTAGAGGAAAGCATTTGCCACATCGATTTGGCAAAATCATAGATTGCGGCAGGCGGCGACACAGAGTAAAATCCGAACACTCGTATGTCGACCGACGGGAGCAAAGGTAAGCTCGTAGTCAAGGCCGAACGTCTGCTCGAACCTGCGGACGACCCATCGCGCCTTGAACGATCCATCTGCATTAGTCTTGACACGGAAGACCCACTTTCCGGTAAGAACCTTTCTTCCTTTTACCTCTGATATCGGTATCAGCTCCCATGTACCGCGATTCTTAAGAGTTGCTAGCTCTCTGTCCATGGCTTCGCGCCATTTTTCTCGGTGAGGACTCGTCAGAGCTTGTCGAACTGTTTTCGGTTCAGGTATTTTACTGTCGTTGTACTGTACTGCGACTGCAAATCCAAGGATCTGTAAACCAGTTTCTGTAAAACGCGGACGTTCTTTGTTTGCACCTGCGAAATTTTCTTCTGACCCTACTTCCCCCCCAATTTCGTCAGGTGTAACACGGACTGCTTCGTCGGAGACGCCTGGCATCGGCTGCTGTTGAAGATCGCATTCGTAACCGAGGTGGACTTCGCGAACATCGTCCGGGTCAGCATCAGCGAGGGGAATAAATTCCGGGATGCCAGGACGTGACAGGTTCGGGAATGTCTGTTGAGGCAACTTCGGAGGCTTCAGAAACCGCCTCGTCCTGTACATCAGCTTCGGCTTCGTCGGTTGCAAATGCACGCGAACCTTCGAACAGCCTGACGGGGTTGGCAGATGCTGTTTGGTGGGCACAAAAAACTGGCAACGTGAGTCGCTTATAGAAGAGACAATCATGTGAAGGGACGATTTGGTTTGAACGAAGACCCAAAATATTCCATGCATGATACTGTTTTTCGATGCCGAGGTGTACCCCCCATTTTGCCCGTTCGGAAAATTTGCCGAGTGCTGAAATTGGAGGTCAAAACTGCACGGCACACCCAAAAACGCGTAACAATTTTGTACTTCCCACTGTACGTGTCCACTGCAGGTGAGGTGAAGAATACTCGGGTAGTGACGTAGAAGACAGCAGGTTGTGTAACAGCACGGCGTGGTCCATCGCATGAGGCCAAAAACGAGGAGGAAGAGCTGCCTGCGTCAGCAGGGCACGCATCTTCTCCTGCAGAGTTCGATTCATCCGTTGTGCTACCCTCATCTGTTGTTGTGCATGTGGCAGAGATTGCTTCCGTTTGATGCCGAGCGTTTGGAGGTAGTCTGTGAAAGCGTTGCTCGTGTACTCCCCTGTGCCATCACTCTGGAATTCTTGCAGTTTCGTTCCATACTCTCTTTCAGCGACGGCGAGCCATGCGACGAAGACCGAATGGGCGAGATATCGAGCAGGAAGGTTGGCTGTCCAAACGTAGTGAGTAGATGCTTCGATAAAGGTAATCACGTACTGCTCCTCTTTAGGTCCTGCTTCAGGTAAGTTGAGAATATCACTGTAGACTTTCTGCATCAATTTATAACGAGTGGAGCCAGGAAAATGACTTGGAAACGGGTCGTGGGTAAGATTGGCGACCGGACACGTGGTGCAAACCGTTGGGCAAGACTGTGGTTTCAGCTCCGTGCCGTCAGGTAAGAGAAGACGGTTTTTATCAAGAACTGCTGCTTGAATTGAATGATTTAAAATCCCTTGTGATGGATGTCCTAACCGTTGATGCCAAATGTCCTCTATGGCTTTGTGTCCTGATGATCGCAGATAAAAATCTGCGTTAGTATAAAACAAAGAAACGATGAAAGGAGAAAGATATGGAGACATGTCGTTTTCCCCTTTCACGAAACGGGTAAGCGTTAGCTGAATGGTTGAAGGTTCTGTTGCAGTTGCGGTTGCAACATCTAATACGACAGTTGTTGATGTGATGGCAGATGGTTCTGCGACAGCTACTGGAAGACTAGTCTGCTCGGTGACTTATGCTTTCGCATCTTCCTCGTCGACTTCGGTCGGGTTCATCAGCTGCAAGTCCACTGATTTCTCCCCAAAGTGGAGCTGGAGTTCCTTGGAAGGCGGCGCGAGTGTTATAAAACATTCACCAAGCGTTGGCACTTTCATTGGCGGTGTTGAACTCCCAAGTATCAAGAGCGGTAAGAACGGCAGCTGCAGTTCGAGAAGTCGTGGGTACATAAGTTGCACGAAAATCAATATCAACTTGTTGATAATCTGTTTCGTCGGGATGATCCCAGGGACCAAGAGCGAGGACGCGTTCAGAATCGCT